CCAGTCCACGTTTGCCTAAAAAATGCAAACATTGCTTAATATGGCTTAAAATAACGTGGACCTTAAGCGTTTCGGATAATTCCATTGCTTTGTAGACTGTTTTTAATTCTTTGATGTGTGAATCTAAATCCGGCCCTATAGGTTTTGCTGAAAAACAGCAATTAACCACTTTATTCATTGCCCTCAGAGCATTTATAAAAGGTACAATTCGTATTATTCCAATATCATTACAAATTTCTGGATCTGATAACTAAGCACTCTCTTTCAAAAGTTTTCTGCAAGCATTACCTTCAAATATGTCACCATGGTAGTTTTTAGCAATAACTTTTAATTTTTTCGGCCATAAGAGAGCTTTCTCTCGACCAAGAAGATGAACTCTGCCATCCCAAAAAATGTGATTGATAAAACCTTGTAAAATATGAAGTTCGGGAACAATGCACTTTTCAATCACGTACATCATCTTCGGCAAAAAGAGGCAGATTAACAGTACTGTGGCAATACTTAGTATTTTTCTTTTTTTTGTGCATCGAGGAAAAGGAATCGTAATCTTTTCTAATGTCTTTAGAGTTTCAAATCCACTGCATAGTTTTCCTTCATCTGCATCCGTCTCAATATTGTGCTCCCCACTATTATTTCCGCTCTCAGAATTTCTTAGATCGTTTAAAGTTATGAAGCAATAAGGACAAGGGCATGTTGAAGTAGCTGTTTGTTGGCCATTGACAATCAAAAGAAGTTTAAAGTCCGATACGAATTTAAACGGTATATTATTAATGTTAGTCAATTCAAAGAGAAGCTTCATATTATCATATGTTTCTTGAATGTCAGGTACAATGCACAGCATTATTAAGCGATGGACGCTTGTCAATTTTGCTTTTTTTTTATAGGAGATTCAAAATTATCTTCTTCATCACTACTCTGATTATTCTGAGATTTATTAGATTCGGATATATAATTTTCTGGAAGGATAGTCATGCAAATCTTAAAGAATCCTTGGCCACCATCTGCCATAATTTTAATTTCGTAATTGCCAATAAGCTTACGTTGTTCACATACGGAATCTAACAACTCTTCTGCATCAGCCCAAATTACAGCTCTTTTCTGCTTCGGTTAATTTTTTTCTGTAACAAATTCAAACTCACCAGATTTATATACATTTTCTAAAGTTCTAGATTTTTTAGATACATGTGTTCGATAATCTATTGATATAGATTTTTTTCCAGCATTACTTCGTATAAAATTTGTAAGTTTTCTCATATGATTTGCTGAGGTTCCAGTACTCGTTTGAAAATTGTCTAAACTTTCAGGTGAAAAACGTACTTGTTTTTCAATATGCTTACTGAAAACGATGTTTTGGCTTCTACCCGTAGTATTAATTTTAGTTCAATATTTTTCTTACTTGATATTTGTAAGTTTTCTTTCAAGATGGAATGCGCTATTTGCATTTTCTGTTTTTCAGGAAGTTTTTTTACTAGTAGCGAATATTCTTCGAAGCTAAAACGTTCACGTTGCTAATATTAGGCCTAATAGGACGTCTACATAAATGTTGCTTTCCCTTATGGAGTTCTTCAAAACAGTTTTTGCATAATTTTATTGCATTATCTACTCTGTTTTCAATCTTTGTAATTTTTGAATATTCACCATTACTTGAATCAGCTGCATATATTCCATTAGATACTTCGATTTTATTACAAATACTTTGACGCTTGTGACTCCTACCTTTGTGAACTTTTGTGTGGCCGATGGATCTGGCTATTAAACAAATGTAACAATAGCATATTTGTGGACTGATCTCAGAACCTCTTGTAACCTTTATTAGTTGAATGTCTTCATAATTAGGCATCACCAGAAAAATTAGAATTTATATAAGTTTTGATCAGATCAACGTGCTTTTCATTTAAATGGAAAAAATCTACTTTTTTCTTCCCAAAAACAATCTTCTTTCCGCATGGAGCACAAACTTTTTGCCGATTTTCTTCGTGATTTAAGTAATGAGACATCTTGGCACAAGTGCGTCTAATAAAACTTGACAACTGAATTATTAAATGTCAAAATGAAGAATATAGTATTTAATATCCTTGGTTACTATATACACACACAAGCATACAAATACATGCACCTTTTTGCGCGCCTGGCGTTCATCTTAAATTTTGAGATATTCATGCAGATATTTCGAAAAAAAGAGCTGATATGATTTCAGTTTATTTAGATTTTTTATTCTATACGTGAAGACGAGCCAATCTACGAGGTCAGTTTTTGTCGTCATTTTTATAAAACCTACAGCTCGTTCAGGAACACTGTGTGTAGGCCTAGTAAATTTAAATGTATCTTTTTTCGATACATTAATGCATTAACATGTTTACAAGATTTACATACAAAGAGACCTTCAAGAACATAAAATTTCTGATGCCATTTATTATTAATTTGAAAATAACCAAGTTTGGAGCGATGTTTATCCAAACCGAGCGGATTACAACAAAGATTTGCACGCGACATTTTAAAACATAATGACAAGTTTTATAAATTTATGTCAGAGAGAAATTAATGTCAAAGACAAATCTGTGAATGACACATCAACACGGTGTAATAAGGATATTTTTAAAAACACTTATAATAATTATAAATAATTATTATTTGTTTATCAGTATTTAGCTTGAAATTATTTTTGTATTAAATACATTTTATGAATAAACTGGATGCAATACATTGTCAACTATTAACTATCACGCAGATTTTCAAAAAAAAAACTAAAAAAGAATTAAACAAATTTTTTGTTGTTTTTACATGTGTTTTTTAACAATATATGTTGTTAATGTATATTAATAATGAAATAAGAATTTATTAAAATAATTACTTTAAATGAATTTAATTCATTTTGCTTGACCGCTTTACAAATAATAAGTAGTTTAATTAGAATTAGAGTCAGCGCGTTGAAACCCTTAAGCGCGTGAGTGGCCGGGCGGCATCAGAAAAATATTCATAACTTCCTTAATATTGGTGTTTACAAACTTTTTTTTTAATTTACTCGATTCTGTTTTACGCATGAAATGGATTTAATCCTATTTTAGAATAAAATTGAGAACCTGGCCAAACTCGAAATTGTTTTAAAAAAATTGTAAAAAAAAAAAATAGAATTAAAAACAATTGATTGATATTTAATAAAAAAATATAGACATTTATCTTTCTTATAAAAAAAAAATCACTTAAATATGTCTATTAGTTTCCGAAATACAAACAAATACAAAAATAGATGCGTACATTTTCGATTCGCGATTGTTTCTAAATTAAGTGAAATTTAATAAAAAAAATTAGGGAATAATAATCTATTTATACCTCAATACACAATTGTTTTTAAAATCCATGCATAAAAGAACTTTTTTATAGACCAGGGTCGATAATTTTTGAAACCAAAAAAAATAACAGTAGGATGAGACCCATTGGAAAAGGAGAAGAATATAATAAAAATGAAAGGAAAAATAAATAACGGGCGATCTGACTTCGGGAAGTGGGAGGGGGGGGGTTTAAGGGTAAAAAATGGTTTTTCTCGATTTCCGGCAAAACTACAAGTCCTATGGAAAAAAGTTAAATTGCAAAGTTGTAGGTAATAAAAGGATCTACAACTTTTGTAATTACAATTTTTTTACATAACCTCAAAATTTATGTGAAAAATTCAAAAAACCAAGTTTTTGGTTTTTTATTTTTATCTTTTTCAAAAAAAATTTTTTTTCCACGAAATTTGGTGAAAACTTACCTTTTGATGTCCCAAATACACTGTAATTTATTTGATTTGAAATATTTATTATTTCGCCTTATTTTGACTTAATATCAAAAAAGCACCCTAATTTTCAATCGAAAATTCTCGCGTCAAAATATCAGCTTTTTTCAAAAAGTCGGTGTGCTTTTTGTTCGTTGAAATCTCTACTTTCTGATGGTGTAAAAAAATATACATTACTATGGTAAATGTTCTCAGAAAATGCAAAAAATATTATAATGAATAACGAAAAAAACTCGAATTCGAAAATTTATTTTAATCATTATGTACAATTTCATCAAAAAAATGTGATTGTTACAATTTTTTTTAGTTAAAAAGTTTATTTATTAAATTCTAATAACATTTATGTCAGAAAATCTCATAAAATATAAAAATACATGTAAATCATACTATTGAATTTAGATACTTCATTCTGATTACGTTATTCATTATAATATTTTTTGTATTTTCTGAGAACATTTACCATAGTAATGTATATTTTTTTTTTACACCATCAAAAAGTAGAGAGTTCATCGAACAAAAAGCACACCGACTTTTTGGAAAAAGCTGATATTTTGACGCGAGAATTTTCGATTGAAAATTAGGGTGCTTTTTTTATATTAAGTCAAAATAAGGCGAAATAATAAATATTTCAAATCAAATAAATTACAGTGTATTTGGGACATAAAAAGGTAAGTTTTCACCAAATTTCGTGGAAAAATTTTTTTTTTTGAAAAAGATAAAAATAAAAAACCAAAAACTTGGTTTTTTGAATTTTTCACATAAATTTTGAGGTTATGTGAAAAAATTGTGAATACAAAAGTTGTAGATCTTTTTATTACCTACAACTTTGACATTTAACTTTTTTCCATAGAACTTGTAGTTTTGCCGGAAATCGAGATAAACCATTTTTTACCCTTAAAACCCCCCCCTCCCACTTCCCGAACTCAGATCGCCCGTAATTTATTTTTCCTTTAATTTTTATTATATTCCCCTCCTTTTCCAATGGGTTTCATCCTACTGTTATTTTTTTCTCTTTTTACCATTTTTAAAGGCTTCTGCACTGGTCTATTAGGTGGCCGGTTTCATTTGATTTGACTCATACTTGGTTCAAAGTAATTTTTTTAAAAGATAATCGTTTTTTTAGTGTACATTTTTTTAATCGAGTACTTTTTTCTTGTATCTACTCAGAATAGCTTTAGCTCACCCTGTACAATATTATATTTCCAGGTTATTTATTTGTTTAACTTACCTCCTGCAAAATACTTTTTTCTTGGGTTTGATATACAAAGGAACTACATTTAACTACTTCATTATTTTTCAAATCTATGCTACATGTTTCATTTTCGAGTTTTGCAAACATCTCACATTTAACAGGCCGATTTTTTTCGAATGGCACAACATTTTTTAACCAGGCAGGTTCAAAGCCGCTAGTGTTTGTGTCGCATCCTGGTATTTCACACCTAGAAACAAGAAATGGTATTTTAATAACAGCCAAATAAATTGTAATTTGCAATGATTTAAAATAACTGTAGTGAATATATAACTAAAGTGAATATATAACTAAAGTGAATATATAACTAAAGTGAATATATAACTATAGTGAATATATTTAGGTAAACACACGTAACAAATTTAAGAATCTAAACCGATTGTTTGGTTAACCGGTCTTTGGTTAACCGCGGGTTTGACAAATCCGAAAAGCAGTTAAATTGGTTTTTGGTTAACCGCGGCTTTAACCAACCCGAAAAACCGCTTGGTTTTCGAAAATCGGTTTTGAGTTAAAAGGTAAAACGTCATACTTAAGTATACTATAGGAAAATTACAAAAAAATAGTTAGGTACCTTATTTTTATGACATTTGAAATGCATATGCAAGATTATTATAATCGTAGGTACACTCACAACAAAAATACCTAATTATTGTTAGCAATGCCGGATTAAGCCGGGGCCTGTAGCAAATGAAAATTAGCAAAGCACTCTTGCAGGTAGTTATTGTTAAGAATAATTATCATTTGTCATTTTTATTCTGTCCACTTGATATCTGTCGAAGTGTTGATAAATATTCTGTTGGGTATACCTCAGTAAATTTTTGCAAAAATAAATAAATTTACTTTAATTTAAAGATCCACGTGATGGTTTTAATGGTTTTTATTAATTACTTATATTTGTTGCTTAATAAATTGTTAAAAAATCTCTCAACGGCGCAATTAAATTTGGACAAATTTGGCAACGTCGAATTATTACTTAATATTTGGTTTGGTTTTTGGTACTTTAATTAATAAACTTTTTAATGCCAAAAACAAATTAAACGGACTTTTGATAGTTTTGTTTTAATTCGACCAAGATTATATTTTAGTATGTTAAACTGCATTAGTTTTCCCTTTGATTCCCTTTTTTTGTTTGCCCAATTGTTTTCCATTTTGAGCAAAACATTTTTATTAATTTTCTACAAAAATCGAAAAGTTTTCGAGGGATCCGGTCTGTTTTCAATAAGGATCGAATTACTGTTTCAAAAGCATATTTTTCCCAAATTTGGTGAAAAAATATTAATTTGTTTTCTTCTCAAGCTATTTCAATTATAAGGCCAAAGTTTGACGGAAAAATCGTTAAAAATGGCTTTCGTCAGGTCAGAAAAATTTGGTCTAGAGGTAGGTCTCGTGGGCACGAAAAAAGAATATCTATTTCAAGTTTCCACCGCTGTCGGTGTCGGTTCGAAAAAGTTACAACACACAACAGAATTTTTAAAAGTTGCTCAGAATTTGATTACGAGTCGATACAAACATTTGAAGGTACACCCACCTATCCTCCTTGTCGCTTTTTCTACATCCGCGCCCGGAGCAATAGAGTCCCTTGGTTTGATTTAGGTACCAATTGGTATAGGATATAAAATTAAACAGCACATTTATAAAAAAAATACTTTTCGTGATTTAATGTGGGTAAATTTAGAAATAACACTAGTTAAATCAATATATTTAAGTAAATACTTTTCTATCCAGATTAGAGTAAGGTCATTAAATTTTAGAAGCTTTTGTCCCATTACGTTTTTTAACTTATTTTTAATGCGCTTGAATGTTGAAAAAGAACGTTCTCCGTTGCAGTTGTTGATCATCAAACTAAATTAAAGGCTTAGCACTATTTCTACATTTGGGAAAAGTATAAAGTGAGGGTAGATAGCTTAGACCTGTCAGATTTTTTACAGACTTGGATGTAAACAACTTAACCTGGCCTAAATTATTTTTACAACCTAGGAGATAATCGAATACTTTTATATTATTAAAATAAATAATTTTTAGTTAATAGACGTATCATTATTTAAAATTTTATTGATTTTAAATACAAAATGATAGATTTTTGAAACATTGCTAAAAGTAGCTTAAAATTAAGATATCTATAGATACATTTTATTTTTAACGATAGTTCTTGCATTGTTTTAAAATATATAAATATTATTTTGTAATCAATGAAATAAAATTTTAAATCTTGTATCTATTAATTAAAAAAAAAATTGGTTTATAGAAAAAATTATTGCCTTATTTCAATATCACATGTTTTTCTTTTAAGAAAATTTATTTTTGAATTAAGTAAGTATCTATTTATTAAAAATACCACTGATTTTTTTTTGCAAGAAAATATATTTTTTCAAATTAAGTAAATATATATTTTTTTAATATTGCAGATTTATTTCAAAAATTATATATTCTTGCTTTTAAACAATCATAGTTTTATTTAAAGAAATTTTATTTTCTTACATTAAGAAAAGATTCTTCAAGTAAATCAACGTGAATTGAGAAAATCACTATTTTAAAGAATAAATTCTCTTTGTTATACATATGAGACAAAGATTATATAAGACAAAGATTGTTTTGAATCAAATAAATTTATTTGATACAAGAATATTTTTTTTTCAGTGTACACTGACTGACTAGACTTTAAGTTAACACAATACTTTTGTTTTTCCTATAGCCGCTCAATTGGAATTTTACATATAAAAAAAATTAAGGAATCCAATGATGTAACAAACTTACTACATAAGTTATGGCGCCATTATAAAAACAAAAGATGACGATGGTAACTCAAATTATAGTAGCAAAGAAATTGGATAAAAATGTAAATAAATGTGTATATTTGCAGGCAATTTTTATTTTTTTTTAATTACAGAAATAATGAACCCTGTATTGTTTTAGATTAAAATTTTTCCTGCCGTGTTAATAAAAATAAAATTTAAAAAACAGACTTGTGTGTAAATTATATTTGTTTATAGCTTAAGTCTATAAATAAATATTTTATTTATTGTCTCGTTTTTTATACAATTCTTATTATTTGTATTTATTTAGGGAATTGGGACAATTTTATTGAGTGTTTTGTAGATGCAATCACAAGTGGCAAATGTGTAATTTTCAAACGACAAATAAAAATTATTTTCATACCTATGTTCAATGTTTATGGTGGTGAAAACAAATGCAACATGCACACATGAATGTAAAATAATAGCATAACACACTAAACTAAAAACCACCCTTTGATACTGCCCTAAGTCGCCCAATTTTATTAAAACGTTATCTAATGAAGTTTCCAAGTTTGGAGTCATTTTAGTTTAAAAAGTATTGCAAACAGTATCGACTATAACTGAACTATAATGTAAAACCCGGCATGTTACGCATTTTTTTGTATTTTTTTCTTACAAGTTTTTATGGATACAATAATTATTATAAGCGGCGAATCCGGAAATATTATAATGGGAGAGATTAAACATTGCAGACTATTTTTTATTTAAATATTTTTATCTTAACCCCTTAGTGCTCGATCAGATCAAAAATTTTGGTTCAAAATGGGTTCAGCAACATTAAAAAAAGATATGGGTCAGAATTTCTCAAACGGGCCACCTGAATTAGGTCAAAATTAGTTTTTGATTGTAGATACATTTTTTCGATAGTATTTTACATCACTAACACAAATCCTAAAGGATTTTGTAAAAAAAAAATTTTCAATTGACATATTCATGATATTAAAAGTAAAAGTTTTTAGTAATTAAAAAATAAAAAAAAATCATTATGGCTAAACTAATTATCCGATTCCAACGATTTAACTAGCGTTGGAATCTTGTTTTGACATAGATTCTTTGTTATTTTTTTCAATTGTACAATTTTCATTTAGGTCGATTTTTTTTTGTTTTTTTTTAACAAATTCGGAAATAATTGGCTTCTGCGCCAGCTATCGACTCGAAAAAAAAAAACACATATACTCCAATCATTTTACGAAATTATGCTGCTGAGAAAAAAAATGGCCCGCAGGTTCCAGACCACCGTAAGACGTCGCGTCACAAGCGCGTACAGCGTACACGGTTCGGAGCGTGAGCTGACACCGCGCGCGGCCACAAAAGTACGAATAACTTTTTGTCAACCTGCGGGCCATTTTTTTTCTCAGCAGCATAATTTCGAGAAATGATTGGAGTATATGTGTTTTTTTTCTCGAGTCGATAGCTGGCGCAGAAGGCAATTATTTCCGAATTTGGTATAAAAAAAACAAAAAAAAATCGACCTAAATGAAAATAGGACAATTGAAAAAAATAACAAAGAATCTATGTCAAAACAAGATTCCAACGCTAGTTATATCGTTGGAATCGGATAATTAGTTCAGCAATAATGAATTTTTTTATTTTTTAATTATTAAAAACTTTGACTTTTAATATCATGAATATGTCAATTGAAACTTTTTTTTTACAAAATCCTTTAGGATTTGTGTTAGTGATGTAAAATACTATCAAAAAAATGTATCTACAAACAAAAACTAATTTTGACCTAATTCAGGTGGCCCGTTTGAGAAATTCTGACCCATATCCAAAAGTCCTATTTAAACAAACACCGCGGAATTTCGTCGCAACTATAGTTGCCAATCAGCACTAACACTACAGGGTCAATACATAAAGAAGAAGAAATGATTACAGGGTGGGGTCTTGAATTTTAAAAATATTTTAATTATGGTTAGATTACACCTAAATCAGCACAAAAATGTTATTTTTTTTCCTCTCCTTTACTGTGTGTTTTTAAGGGGAGTCAAATTTTAAAATTTAAAATTTACGGTATAGCAGGCTTTCTTTAAAAAAATCATATTTCTTGACCTGATTTGCGTAGCGACTTTAAATAAACCATAATGTTTAACCACAAGGGCCGTATCAATTTTTTTTCTAAAATTACAAATTTATTCCATTATGGAGTTTTACATAGATATTAATATAGGCAGTAAAATGTAAATCCTAATTAATTTTAAGAGTCATTTATTGCATTTAATTTTTTTTGGCATTTTTATAATTGAATCGAAGAGAATAAGACAAGTACAAGTCCAAAATTTGACAAAACACCAATGTTTTGGCTAATATAAGAATTTGGTTGTTCTAAACCAACTTTAGCTTTCTTTAAGGATGAGCTGACATGCGCACAATGTTTTTAAATCACTGAGATACA